ATCCAACATCATTCTAACATTCATTAATTTTGCAATATTTCTGTAGATAGTCTTTAAATTTCTTCCAATCTTCTTCCACCGACTCTTCTCCCTGATCACGGATTCTGCCAGTCATTTCCGCCAATTCCATATAGTCCATCAATTTCATCTGCCATTCCTCCAGTGTGGGCAAGTCTTGTGTCTTCCTGCACTAGATGGACCTTTGGCTCTCGCTGTGTTCTTTCTCCATCATCAGAGGCAAAATGTCTCTGAATGCCAGTTTGCCTGGAATCACAATTAGGGAGTGTCATATGCACTCAAGATCTGCTTGTGGGCTTTGCTTTGGGGCACCTGTGAGAAGAGGCTGAGGAGGAGATGGGCCTTTGGCTGGGCTCTTCTTAAATTCTGGATGCTGCCTTTTGTAGCTTCCATTGCTAGGAAGCACAGCAGGGAGGAGTTGCTGTTGCACTCAGGTCCTACTCATGGCTTCCAAAGAGGCATCTAGTTGGCCACTGGTGAGGTCAGGATGCTGGAATAGACTGGTTATTGGCCTGATCCAACAGGCCCCTTCTGATGTTCTTAGGCAGTATATAAGTGTGGGTGTGCTTGCACTACACACACACACACACACACACACACACACACATGCGTGCACACACAGACACACAGGATCTTTGGCCTCGTGGTTTTCCTTGCTTCCTGTGAGTGAAGTCATCTCCAGAAAGTTACTTAGCAACCCTAGAAAAATGTTTTGAAAGTTCTAATTTTTCAGCACCGTCACCCCCAACCCACAAGTGCCCCCTCCTCACAAATGAAAGGGGAGAGAGAGAGAGAGAGAGAGAGAGAGAGAGAGGGAAGCTGGAGCAAGTTCCAGTAATCACCTTCTTGGCGAGCCAGAAGCTGGTGATCTCATGCACCAGATCATTATTTTATGTGAATTGGGCTTTTTAGCTGTAAAGAGACAGCAGTTCTCTCTCCTCCCCTCCCCATTCCCCTCTTTTTTTAGTGGCAATTTGCTTATGGCTCCAAAAGGATAATTAAATGCGGTCTCCACACAAATAACTATGGCAACAAACGGGTAATTAGATTGTTTCCAGCACTTTGTAACGGAGATGGCAAAAGGAGATGTTTTGGATCAGCGCAAATTGCAGCGCATAGTTGCCATAGCACCACCTCCAGTTGCACACAGGCATTGAACCAAATGTCTGACTGTTTGAGAATTAATCCTTCTGAACCCTAAAGAAGGAGCTTAGCTTTCAGCCACTCAATGCTTGGGTGTGTGCTTGTGAAGTGTGAGTTGCGTGCCCCCTTTAAGATTTTTTTTTAAAAAATTGTTCTTTAAATTTCCCCGGATACCTCCCAAAATTTCTACATTGAGGGGGGTTGGACTAGATGACCCTCGGGATCCTTTCCAACTTTACAATTCTGTGATGATTCTGCATTATGAAGCCCTGTGTTCCCCTGTACACACCTAACTTACAGCTATATACATCTGCAAAAGACGTTCTTATCAAATGAACCACAAATTAGAACAAACCTTTGAAACTGGTTTTTGGTTTTCTAGAGGATTTGCAAAGGTATTGAAGTGGGGCTTTTAAGGGGCATGTGATGTGGGTGGGTACATAATGCACAGGCCTTAGAGTGGACAGGCTTCAACTAGCTGGCTGGCTTATCCTCCTCTGGCTTATCCTTCCAGCCATGGTGTGATGCTGAAGCTACAGAAGGATGAACTTCTGCCTTGTTAGTTTTTCCAAGCTGGTTGGGCTTGGCAAGGACTTCTCTGAGACTGGGTTCCTTTTGGGCTTGGGGTGATGGTGTTCCTTTGAGCAGGTGTGTAAACAGGCACCCTTCTAGTCATCTGTATTTTTATTGTCTGCAGCGGAGCCATGTCAGTGGTGAGACCCTGATATACTGTGTATCTGCTCTAATTTGTGGTGTTTATTCTGCAGCTTTCTATTGCCTTTATTGATGTATTATAGTGCTTTATTGCACCTTTGTAGTTGTGCTATTACACCCTTCTTTTGTATTGATATTCTGTTAATGGCTTTGTAGGGCCTTTGGGCCAAATAGTGGTGCATACACTACCCAACCATAGGAATGACTAGCTAAGCAGTTGCATCATTGATGTTTGCAGAAGATATTCTTAGCACTGGTGTTCAGAGGTATGCGTGCATGCATACATGTGTGGATACACACACACACATCCCTGAAAGAACTCTTTGTATGATCAGCATAAGTCTGCCTACCCCTCCATGCCGTGACTTCAGGTAAATCATCCAATCCCTCCATGCATGACAGTGATGTGTGAATGCCAAAATTAGGGGTCGTAAGAAAGCATAGTTTCCCTTTCCACCCTGTATTAATCACATGCAGCACTGTCTCCATTCTGCTGCAGTTTGACTTTAGCAAAAAGAGCTATGTTATTCATCTCACTGTCCACTGTGATGAAATTTCTTAATATATGCAATTAAACCAGGTGCCACATAACACTCTCTCTGCATTAATAAAGAATTTATTTATTTTAGCCCACTTTTGGAACTCCCTGCCTATTGACCTCAGCTAGGTGCTTTCGCTATACTCTTTTCGGTGCCTGCTAAGAAAATTTCTGATAAGGCAAAGCCTCTCCAGGTATGTAGAATGTGGACATGTGTTTTAAACTGCTTGTAAGCTTATAATTGGTTTTATTTCTTTTTTTTATTGGTATGTTTTGAATAGTTGTTTTTAACAGTTGGGTTGTTTTACTGGTACAGTGGTACCTCGGGTTACAGACGCTTCAGGTTACAGACTCCGCTAACCCAGAAATAGTACCTCGGGTTAAGAACTTTGCTTCAGGATGAGAACAGGAATTGCGCAGCGGCAGCGGGAGGCTCCATTAGCTAAAGTGGTGCTTCAAATTAAGAACAGTTTCAGGTTAAGAACAGACTTCCGGAACAAATTAAGTTTTTAACCCGAGGTACCACTGTAATTTGATTATTTGTAACAAAACCTTAAACTGTTTTTACAAAATAGAATCAATCAAATGGCATCTAAATCGTGTCAAACAAAGAAACAAAGAAACAAACAAAGATGTTCTACCCCCTCCCCATTCACTAAAAAGCAAAGGGTGGGGGGATATTTTATTTTTATTTTATTTATTTATTGCATTGGCTCCAAGGAGCTCAAGGTAGCACACCCAGTTCTCTTCTGCTTTAATCTCCACAACAACCCAGTGAGGTAGGATAGGCTGAGAGGCAGTAATGGGCCCCCAAAGTCACACCCAGTGAGCTTCATTGCTGAATAGGGGAATCGAATCTTGGTGTTCCAGGTCTCAGCCCAACTTCCAAATGAATACACCATACTGGCTCTCTTTCTAACCAATTATGCCTTGTTTGCAGACCGAAAGCAAAACCAGTTGTGAATCCTGATTGTATTCACTGGATTGATTTCTATTCCAGACATGGGGGCAACTAAGGGAACACCAGCGAGTTCTGGTCCTGTTTTCTATCTTTGTCAGAATTCTCTGACATTCAAACCTGGGATTCTGTGAGAGTTTCGGAAATGGCCATAGCACCCAGCTTCCTAACTTTGCGCACAGATTTCTGTGAATGTCCCTAGCATTCCTGGCTATGCAGACATGCTGGGAAGTTTGCTGAAATCACAGAAGCTGAAGTAGATCAGCAGCAGTTGGTTCAGGGCCCTGCCGACACAGGGATTACTATGTGGCTACCAAGACCAGCATTCGAGGTTTTCGAAAGTTTTAAAATGGTGTGATGAGCTATGCAAAGTACAGAGGTACATGCAGATCTATTCAGCACACATGACTGAGGAAGCCATGACTGGTTAAAGTTGGCAGAAGAGTGTTTTCAGTGTGTAGTGTGGATGTGACCCAGGTACACACATCTAGCCCAGCAGAGGGGGCGCAAGCTTGTCAGAGCAGCCACAGAAATGCCAGCCTTTTCTTTCTGCTGTGTTCCCCCAACTTTTTCACTGCTTTCTTTCCTTCCAAAGTTTTGGAAGTTCTTCAGCTGGTAACGCTTAATGCTGACTGCTTCCAATTCCACCGCCCTCCCCGCACTCCGTTCCTGCTGACTGGAGGCGGGGGGAACCTTCCCAATGCCATACAATGGCAGACGGGCCTCTGAGCCACGTGGATTGCCCTTAATCAGAACCAGCCTCCGTCTCTCCAGCTCCCAGTGCTTCCTTGACCTCTCCCTGACCTCCCTGCTCTTCAAACTGGGTTCAAAGAGGCAGTATTGAACCCTGACTCTGTTTTGCTCTCTCCAGGACTTCAGCCCTCATTTGCTAAAACTGACAACCTGGGAAAGCGGTGATTAATTTATAGCGTTGGGGGCGGGGCAGTTCCCCACGCTGCAAAAGGACCACATCTTTGGAAGAAGCGCCTGCGTGTCCCTACCCTCCAAGTGTCCTGATTTTTCAAGGACAGTCCCGGAGTTATGAAAGCTGTCCTGGCTTCTGATTTGATCTCAGAATGTCCCTATTTTCCCAACCAGTGGTGCTGCCACCAAGCATGGGGAGGAGGATGAGCTGGCGTTTATCCCTAACGACGGCGGTAGCGGTGGCGGCTGCTGCAAAGGTGCATCCTGTTGGCTCTCCATGGCTGCCACTGCCAACCTCCTCCCTTGGGCGACGAGGAGGAAAGGCTGTGGCTGCCAAGGTCACATGACTTTGAGGGGCAGGCTGCCCTGGGTGGGAAGAAAGGGGGAGCAGAGCGTAGGGAGTTTTGGTTTTCTCTTTTTTAAAAAAAATAATGCTTTGTGTATCTATGTCTAATCTTGCCCCTTTCTTTTTTTTTATATGCAAAATTTTTAAATTTACTCATTTCATTTAGATTCTTTGATAGATTTTACATACATATGTAATAATATTGCAGATAATTTCCCACTTTCTTAGCAAGCACAAGGCAGCACCAGACATTGTAGATGATTTAGCATGAAGTACTTCTTCTTATCAACAGATCACAATGCATCAACACAAACTATAAGATTCCCCATGAGATATAAAGTTAGTTATGAGACAGAGGTTTACGCAGTTTGCTGCCTCTTATCCAAGCATCTCTCAATATCATCAAGAACTTGGACAGCTGCCTTTGGGATTTGGGTTCCAGGGCCAAATATATTGGAAACACCAGAGTCATACAGGAAGTCATAATCTTGGGGAGGGATGACGCCTCCACATATGACGAGAATGTCTGGGCCGCCAAGGGCATGCAACTCTTTGAGGAGTTCAGGAACAAGCGTTTTGTGGCCAGCAGCCAACGTGCTCACACCCACGCAATGCACATCCGCATCTACCGACCGCTGGGCCACTTCACGGGGTGTCGACGGCATCTTCCAACTCAGGAATCTGTAAAATCATCCCAGTACAACATATTCTGATAGTTGCCTTTGGCGCGAACAGGAAATTGAAACAATAGGTAAACCCCCCTTTAAATCCATATCAACGAAAAGAAAAGAACTCACTTTGAAACTCACCTACAGGTGGTACCTAACACCAAGAAAACTAGCGCTAATATGCTCAGGAACCTCACCAAAATGCTGGAGAGGGTGCACCTCCACAGGCACATATCTCCACATGTGGTGGGAGTGCCCCAAAATCCAACTATTCTGGACAACAACCACACAAGAAATATGTAAAATAACTAAGCAAGTATTAGACATCACCCCAGAATTGGCCCTACTAAACATCTTCCAAGACAACAATGCCCATTTACACCACAAAGAACTCATAACCCACCTACTTTCAGCAGCCAGAAACACCATAACCAGACACTGGAGAGACCTGTCAGGAGTAAGCATGGACCAATGGTACCAAATAGTATGGGAAACAGCCCTACTAGAAAAATTAACCAATAAACTGAAACTGACACGGGACAAACAGAAGAAGACGCCTTTACCCCGGTATGGCTCCCCTTTATCACATACACAGCCCAACAAGACAATGACAATAATCCACCAACAGCATACAAATCAATATGGCTAACCTGATCCAAAACACCCACCAACCCACTCACACACGAAAACAAAGATCACCATAGCCAATCACAAACAAACAACCACACCCTAGGCCAACCCCAACCTCTCTCACCACCAAAGGAACACAAGTGAACAGCACAAGCAACGCTGACACCAAACCCTACATAATTAAGCATAACAGAAACATCGCCACCTGACCCCACCCCCACCCATATTCCCTCCCTCCCCCCCTTTCCCCCCTCCCCCTAATGTCTCAACAAATGAAATGGATTTGTAAAAATGTTACATGGAAAAAATATGAGAGACATTACACTTACTTCTGTAAAACAAGAAAATCTTTAATAATTTTTTTTTTTTAAATTGGCTTTTAGTAGTGTAGCTCCAGCCCTCTGGAATCCATTCCCAGCTGGAATTAGACAGGTGCCTAGCATCATAATGTTTAGGTGTCTTTCTGAAGATGTTTTATTTAGCAAAACTCTCCCTAATGTGTGACCTAGTAATTCATCTGTAGGAATGGTTTTATTTATTTTTTGAATATATTACTTTTGTATTTTATATTTTTGAACACAGCTTTGAGGACCTCAGGCTTTTAAGCAATTTATAAATTTGTAAAATCAATTTTGAAAAATCTTGCCCCTTTCTAAGATTTATTTACTGGTGCATGTTTTTCTTTTTGTACATTTACCACTGTATCACACTGTTGACTTATGTGAAGCTTGTGGTCTACTAAGATGCCCAAATCCTTTCCAGCTAATGCCCAGCTCCTGTAAACAAGCCAGGTGTCCCCCATCTTATCTTTCTGCAACTGGTTCTTCCTGCCTAAGGGTAGAACCTAACATTTGTCCCTACTGAAATTCATTTTGCTAGTTTGGGCCCAGTTCTTCAATCTGTTATGGTAATCCTGAATCCATTTTATGTCTTCAGCGATATTGGCTCCTCCTCCTAGTTGGGTGTCATTTGCAAATCTGATGAATATACTGTACCTTCAATTCTTTCATTCAAGTTGTCCATAAGGATGCTGAGCAGCTACAGGCCCAGGACAGAACCTCGCAGCACTTCAATTGTCACTTCCTCCCAGAATGGTGAGGAACCATTAGTGAGCACTTCTTGGGTTTGGTCAGTCAACCTGCTACAAATTCACCTTACAGTTACCTCAATAAAGCCAACATTTTACCAGTTTCTCCACAAGAGGAGGCAGACTTTGTCAAAACGTTACTGAAATCAAGATACACTACATGCACAGCATTCCTTTGATCCACTGAGCTTGTAACTTTATGGGGGGGGGCAGAAATGAGATTCGTCCAGCTTAACTTGGCTTTGATAAAACTATGCAGAGTTTTAGTCATCACAGCATGCTTTTCTAAGTGCTCACAGACTGACCTTTTAAGTGTTCTAGGACCTGTCCTGGTATCAATGTCAAGCTCACAGGTTGGTAGTTACCCAGGTATTCTCCCCTACCCTTTTGAAGATACATTTAAAGTAGCTTGGTGTTCCCTTAGCACCTCTTTTTCTATCTTGGGCTGCAGCTCTTTCCTTGCATTGTTTATTTTGTTAACACCAGGTTGGGCACTACTTTTCTTTTGGGTGAAGACAGAGGCAAAGTAGGTGTTCAGCAGTTCTGCCTTCTCTCTGCCACCCAATAGCATTTCTGCATCTTCTCCACAGAGGACTTACCACTTGCTTGTTCTTCCTCTTGCTTCTAACTTAGCCATTATTTTTAATCTCTCTTGCAAGCCTCAGCTTCTTCTGAGCTTTGGCCCTCCTGACCTTCTCCCTGCAACTGTTGGCTACTCTTGTATACTCCTCCTCTGTGATTCCCACTTTCTTCCATTTCTTGCACGTGTCCTTCTTAAATCACATCTCATCTGTAAGCTCTTTATGCAACCACACCAGTTTCTTTAGAAGCCTCCCACTTGCTTTTCTGTTGGGATTGTCTGTCTTTGTTTATTCAGTATTTCACATTTAAGAAACTCCCACCCATCTTGGACTTCCTTCTCTTTGAGTATTTCTGACCATGGGTATTTCTGACCCAGGGGCGTCTTACCCATAGAGGCTAGTGGCACGGGGTGCCAGGGTGCCAAGTTCTGGAGGGCGCCAGGGAAGAGGCAGAGGGTGGATGCAGCGCCTCCTGGCATCAGCTCGCCACCCTTGCCCGCCTCCGCCATGCCGCGCCGAAGCAGTGCTGCGCCCGGAGCCTGCGTCTGCCATGGTCACTGCGGCATGAAGTGTCCAGCTGAGCTGGGAGGCACTGCGTCCAGCCTCTGCCTCTTCCCTGCTGGAGGAGCTGCCCTCCAGCCGCTGCCCGCCTCCTCCAGCCCTGCCGGCAGTGCTGTCCTCCCTAAAAAACTCTGGGAAAGGGGGGGGCGCCGGAGGTAGCTTTGCACCACGGTGCCGTATATGCTTAAGACAGCCCTGATCACACTCAGTAGCTCCTTAAGCTTTTTGAAATTGGCACTCTTAAAGTCCAGAGTGCATGTCTCGCTACACTCAGCTTTCCCTTGACTCTGGCAGGGGAAAAACATTTCTCTATGGGCTTCCTCCATGCCATGCAGAATTTTATAAAGTGTTATCATGTCACCTCTTACAGTATGCACCTTTTCTCTACAACTTTTCCTCATAGGGGATTTGCTGCTGGATCATTTTGGGGTATTGTTTTTTGGGTTTTGTGTTGTGGAGGTATTTTGTCACTATTGGGAAAGTGGCAGTTTTCTGAGCATCATCAATTGTTTTCCTTCTGTGAAATAGGTACTTCGTAGTGTTTGTGGCGTGGGACATGGGTGGTGCTGTGGGTTAAACCACAGAGCCTAGGACTTGCTGATCGGAAGGTCAGCGGTTTGAATCCCTGCGACGGGGTGAGCTCCCGCTGCTCCCTGCTCCTGCCAACCAAGCAGTTCAAAAGCACGTCAAGTGCAAGTAGATAAATAGGTACTGCTCTGGTGGGAAGGTAAACGGCGTTTCCGTGCACTGCTCTGGTTCGCCAGAAGCAGCTTAGTCATGCTGGCCACATGACCTGGAAGCTGTACACCGGCTCCCTCGGCCAAAAAAGCAAGATGAGTGCCGCAACCCCAGAGTCGGTCACGACTGGACCTAATGGTCAGGGGTCCCTTTACCTTTTAGTGCTTGTGGCAGCTTCTGCGATTCCCAAATGTGTGCCCTTTCAGGCCCACATAAGCCCAAGATCCCTTCTATAAATCAGTTGCCCCTGCTCAACTTGGAACAGGCCAATGTGCCATAGCTGCAAGTATCTGAGGCCAGCAACAATAACCCTATTTCTTCTTCTGATTAATCAGTGGGTGGTGAGCCATGGGCGGCAGAACAAATATCCAAGGTTTGTGCAGCAAAGCTGTCACTGCTGAATGCATTGGGTTTATCTGAAGAAGAAGAAAGGAATGGTAGCTAGTTCCTTTGTGATTTCCTGGCTTTTCAATTCCATCTCAAGGCTAGCTTTCATTCCAAGAGTTACCTTTCTGCCAAGTGGGTCATGTGATTTTGTTTCATTGTGTTCCCTCCTGAAGTGATCAGGAATTTGGAAGGTGTGTTTTGCTGGAGGCTTCAGAAGGAGACCTCTTGCGAGGTCAGGGACAGCTCTCCACAAGATTTGAAAGAAAACCTTGTCCTTCCATCCTCCCACACACCTGCTCTAGCATCTCTCTCTCTTTTCTGATTAACTTGCTTTTTCCTAGAAACTGGTAGTGCTGATTTAGCTCTCTCTGACTTCTTCCACACTCACCTTTGCTGTGCACTTTCTGGGAACAGGTCCGAACTTTCCAATTTAGAGGAGTTTTTGTTCGTCCCGGTGCTCTCCCCAGGAAAACCTGTGTTTTGCTCTGAATCAAAGCAAGCAGTAATCTGTGGAAAACCTGGTTGCCAGTGGCTGCAATTCAGTGGTGAAACACAGGAGTGCCAGGACAAAAAAACACAAAACCCTGCTCAGGTATAGACCTGTGCCTAGAAGTGCAACACAAAATGAAGTGTGGATAAGCCCTTGCTCACTCCCTCAATCCATAAGAATATAAGGAGAACTTGATGGATCAGACCAACGGCCCATCTCCTAATATTCAGCTTCGTGGGATGTCCACAGGTTCTAGGATGATGAGGGATGGAGAAAAACGTTTCTCTGTCTGCTTTCTCCATGCCATGCATAATTTTATAATCTTCTGTTGTGTTGCCTCTTATTCACCTTTCCTCTAAACATTATTATTATTATTATTATTTATCAAATTTATATACTACTGATTATCATGAGGACCTAAGGGCAGTTGGCAACGTAGAACACAAGAGCCGTAATACAATAATAGTAAAGACAACAAAGCAATAAATGAGAAAATAAATAAAGACAACCAAAGCAATAAATG